GAACATCAGTGCTATTACTTCAGAACAGACTTTTATGGTGCATTCAACCCCTCTACCACAACAAGCACTGGAAACAGTTAGAACAGACTTGCTCTCTCATATGCAATAACTCTTATAAATGCAAAGCAAAAAGTTACTGGCAACGAAAGACAAGGTCACAAACAAGTTTGTCTTCACCTGTTGTAAGAAACTTAAAAGTACTGTTATTCTATACAGGTAAAAAGAACAGCAAAGTAAAAAGCTTGTATTCCAAAATTCTCATTTGTATCTCTGATGAAAAGTGTGCCTTTTATTACATTCAAATTTGCTCAATTCAGGAAAGCATTCAGCTCTTTTAAGTGTCAGATATGCACTGCTGCTTTTGCATTAAGAAATAAGGTAGCTTTTAACTCATCTCACATACAGCAATTTTTACTGTATCAAGCCAAAAAAGAGAAGAATTGCAGGCAAACACACTGCACTGTCTCAGAACGGACGAACACTTTACCAGCAACTAGACAGTAGAGAGACAGAAAGGAAAGTAAACTATGCCTGAGATATCACGTATGTGCCAATTAGATCTCAAAAGTTGCTACATTTTACAATAATTAAGCCCAAGACAAATGCAACATGCCAAAACTAATGAAATGGGCATATCTAGGGCCAATCTTTTAAAAGATGTCATGAGACATCAACAGATCATGATTTTGCAAACCAAGCAGAGTTTTACAGGGTCAATACTTGGGTGACAGTTAAACAAGATCCACAATTAGCACTAAGTTATTCAAACGATTCACTGAACTTTACTCTGAACTTCTTATCAACTAGCATGACATTCCTAGGTGCAATGTATGTTGAAATAAGCATTTTCCAAAGACTGTCATTGTTAGCTTTTGTCTTCTTTAGAATAAGACACTTAAACATACAGTTCCTCCCTCCCCAAACTTGTTCTTGATTTCAAAGGTGAACAATACTTTTCACTCATTTACCTCGACTGTAGAATGCAGTGTTCCCACTTACAGCTAAACAGCTGCCACATATCACCCACCTCAACAAGAAGCACTTCATCAGTAGCTCGCTGCCTCATACACACACACACTAGCATAACTTACAAAGCGCTACAGTTTAAATTGCCTTTCAAATCCTGTTTGTTTTTTAAGCAGCTTGTTAAATTAAGCAAAACTCTTGTGAGTTTAGAGATTATGTCTCCATCTTTATGTACTTGATCATACAGCCAGTCTGGAAAGTAAGTGTCATCCTGTCAACTAACATGCCTTGAAACTTTTTCCTCAGTTGAAACAAACAGCTCCACAACCTAGCTCTACAGAACAGCAGATCTGCCAGAAAATACTTTTTGTATTATTTTTAAACTAGATGCTGCTGCAAACAGCCTAGAAAGTAGGTTATACCTTGTCATTCAAACCCTGAAAGCGTGTCTGAACACAAAAACAGAAAACAAGCTGAAAAATACATTGTCCTACTTTCCACCACCCTGCTGCCTGTCCGTTTTACCCTGACACAGGCACTAGCAAACATCCAGGCATACGACACAAGTATTCTCAAAATGGAACTACATCATCTTCCCCTGCAAAGATGATCTGGCAGTGCAAGAAATCTCCGCTAAATAACATCTCTCAATAGTCAAGTTACACTTTGCATTATTTCATGATATTAGCTTTACTTCTACCTCCTTGGACCACCCTAAGGGATTCTTCTCCATTATGTTCTTCAAATACTTGCAGATAATCATATCTCCCACTTAGACATAATTTAGCCAAGTTTCATGCATTTCTTTTCATCTTCTTTCTCTCATAAATCAGTCCCTTCAGCCTCTCCAGCATTCTTACTGCTCTTCCCTGAATTTCATCCAAATTGCTGACATCTTTCAGTGACTGAGGAACTTCCAATTGCATGCTGTACTCTAGATGTTTTTTTCTGTACTCTAAAGAAAGATAATTAAGCCTTTTCAAGAAATATTAATGCTTCAAGTCTGGAATAAATCTAAATCAGAGATTTCTTTTTTTTTTTCCAGAACAGATAGTAATTACCCCCATTTCACAGAGCAGAAGAGCAGACAGAAGTATCTGAATTATTGCTGCACACAAGCAGTGCCAGAACAAGAAACAGATCTGTGTTCTGCCATTCCCAGTTGTGAGGTCTGCCAAGTTTCAGCCCACAGACAACGTAAGACAACGGTCCCAGGCTGTGATCTATAGGCAAACACAAGCCATTTCCAAGTGACTACAGAACAACACTCGGGGAGCCCAACACTTGCTCGCGTGAGCAAGCACAGTGCTGGAGGCTGTTGGCACCAGTGGGACCATGTAACGCCCTACAATGTGCCATGGTCTACTATTACCGTAAGTAGTCAGGACCTGATGTTCATTGCTATGTCGAGGTTTTTCTAAAACCAGCCCTCAGTTATCATCAGGTTAACTAACCAAGCAAGCTATTCTGTTCCAGAGGTTAAGAGGGGTTTTTAAATACGAAAGGACTGACTGCCATACTAAGGCAGTCCAAAGCAATTTTCAACTTGTACTGTTTCCTTCTCTTCCCTCCCACTCCCTAATACATTTGTAAAGGAATCACAGGGAAATAACTTCAGAAAAATTAACAAGAGCTCTTCACAAAAGAAATGTGTAAGAGACTATACAAGGGGAGGGCAAGGCTGAAGAATAAGGGGGAAAGGAGAGAAGCGTCTGATCAGTTAAATTTAATTTAAAAAAAAATAATCTAAAAACCCACAAACAGGAAGCAGACACATTAAAAAAGCAACACTGACCTAACAAAGGAATGTGAACTGCAGTTGACTTAAACAGCATCACAGCAATAGCCCTCCCCCTACACACAAATCTCTGCAACTCTTAAAGACACAGGTTTTTAGGCCCTTACAAATTCTGTGGATTTTTGCCTCGCTAGCCACACTTTGTTTGATACTCTTAGCTTGAACTGATTTAGCTTATTGCCTCTTCTTTCCAAATAGCAAGAGTACCCAAATTTGACCCAGATTAAAGAAAACTAAGTTGTATTATTCTGCCTACCTTAGAGAGGTATTGAATTCTAGTATTCTACTACATATTCTTTTCAATGAAAAGAACAAACTATAAAGGGTCCTCTGTTTCATGGTCTTCTGTTAGAGATCAGAAGAGTATAACCAAGATTAGATAACAAACACCTTGGTGAAAGGTATCATTTCTTCCCACTAACTCAATACACAGAGCAAAAAGCAATTTTCTAAATCTGTGTACCATTTTCTTAATGTGACTGCTGGTTCGCAATTACAGCTCCTGCTCTTATTAGACTTTTCCCTGTCCCATGAAGAACGATTTCTTCCATCCAATATGTGGAAACAGCAACATAAATGCCATCCTCCTATTGTTGTTCTTTATCATATTTTTGCTTCCGGGAGATAAAAGCTACTAAGAACACTAAGCTTTTAAGAAAGTTATCATGTTGATTTTCACCTTGAACCCTGTTCAGTGTTAAGGCCATTTACACATCATTTCACCACCTACCTAAAGGTACCTATCTCAGTGAACACTTAAAAGCTTTTCTAATACAAAATGCAAAAAACATACATCTTGTGCAACTTCTCTCTCTAAATATCCACTGTGCTTGCTAATTAGGTTCTCAGACCTGTTTGCAAACTTTAGCATTCGGCAACAAAACTGGAATTGCAGCTAGGATAGAACACCAGAGTTTTTTTGTCTAGTCAGAAATTCTTATCTTATGATAGGAAGAAGAAAGGAAATTTGCTGAGAGTCAAAATTATTTCACTTGCACCAAGCCTTAAGTTAAATGGAAAACAGTCCATCTTCAGCAAGAAATCGGGAAACTTCCATTTTCTGTAGATCAATTGCTACATCATTGTTTGTTGTCATAGAACATCACAACTTCTTTTCTACACTTGTACAACAGAAGCAGATCTCACTCATCTCCCTAAAGAGGGCAGAGGACTAACTAGTGTCAAATGGGCTGAAGACACTGCAGAAATACGAAGTACCCCTAGTATCATTAAAAATCTTATCCCATAATCCGAGTTAGATGCAGCACCTATTACTGCCTTTAGAAAAGGCTCAGAACAATTTTCCTACCTTAAAAAGAAATTAAAAAAAAACAATAATGACATAAACTCTAGCAGCCATCATTCCCCACACTGTAACTTAAGGAGGCATAAATCCTTTCTGTAACTCATGGAGGATGAAAGATGCAGTAATATATAATATCATAAAACCAGGAGACACAAGCAATAAAAAAAAACCCACACTCTCAAGATCTCCAAAAACTCATTTATCAAGCAGTTTTTGCTTGGAGGCAAGTTAGGTACTAACATGCACAACAGAGACAATTTAAGGAACTTGCATCCACAATACTGTATTTAATAAGTAGCTACACGTAAAAATGCTTGCGGGTTTATTTTCCTTTATTTGTTCAGAGGGGCTCTGCTGCAAATCATATGTATATTAAGAGAGGAGAGATTTCCACAAACCCTTCTGGGCAGAGCATCATTTCGATGCTACTGACACTTAACAAGAAGTCATTCCAAGACTGGAGTTTGTTGACACAGGAGATGCAGCTTCAGGCCAGTCTTACAATATAAATCACAGCCACCATCATTTAATTAGAAGAGGTACAATCCACCAAATCATCAGTGGTCCAACTGAGTATAAGCAGGTTTCAGAACTTCAGGAGACTACTGGTAACATTCAGACTTGCAATATGGAAAGATCCTCCACACCTGACATAGGTAACTAAAAGAGAGTAGATTTAGACTAGATATAAAGAAGACGTTTTTTTACTATGAGGGTTGTGAAGTACTGGCACAGGTTGCCCAGAGAGGTTGTAGATGCCCCATTCCTGGAAACATTCAACGTCTGGTTGGACTGGGCTCTGAGCAACCTGCTCTAGTTGAAGATGTCCTTACTGCGGAGGGGTTGGACTAGATGACCTTTAAAGATCCCTTCCAACCTGAATTATTCTGTGATTCTATGGTTAGTATTTGTTAGCTGATAAGCACCTACCTGGAATTCGGATTTTAAATTTGCCACTTTGTCCAAAACCACCATCTATTATTCCATCTTCTCCTGTAGACAGTTTGACTTTTAGACCCACGAAAATCTGGATGTTTGTTTCCTTTTTGAACAACGAACGACCAATCACGCTGTAATCGTCCATCACCTGCAAAAGAAATAGGGCTTCATGAGCCTACAGTCTGAAGTGACAAGAAATTATACCTGTAAGATAACATTAAATTTGGTGACTTCTACCACCCTGCCCTTGGAAAACCATTTACCCCCAAATGAACAAAACTCTAGATGAGTGATCTAAACTGGCAACTTGTGTTTAAATCCATATATGACTTTGTGAATTAATATATTTCTGCCTTCACCTGCTTTCTACTAATACAGGAAAAACAAAACCTGCGTCAGAACATGCTTTAAAGATCAGTTAATTAGAATCTCTTTTCTGCTTTGAAACCTTTCCACGAAAGTCACTTAAGTACCTACGCTCACAAAAAGTTTATTCCACTACTTATCCTACAGCTAAGTACACTATCACCTACATAAACATTCTGTCGCTTGGCTCCAGAACTGCACTCCAACACCTACACTTCCAAAGAAATGACAGAATTACTCAGTATTTACTAAATAGATCCTTTTAAATGTTCCCCTCTTCGTACACATTGATTTGTTAAACTAAAAGCCTTATGACCATTGTATCCAATTTTAATTTCAAGGTTTGTAACACTGTGGGAAGAACCATTCCAAGCTGAATTCTTAATTAAGCTATCAGGAACAAGAGGTAGCAAGGTTGGTGGCTAAGGCAAGATAAACAACCTTCCCTTAGGCATTACAAAGTCTAAGGTGCAGTCAAGTGAGCCTAATCCTGTAGGTGTGAATATCCTTGTATACCTAACGCCTGGAGTTACTCTACCTCATAGCCGCAGCAAGAATATTTACTTATCAGAAGAAATAAGGAGATATTACTTAAATCCTTCCAAGATTATTTTTTTTGGTGGCAAAAGTCGCAGCTCTTCTTCATACGTTAGGAGCTATTTTTAGATAAACCTAAGGGCTTGAAACACCAGAGTGACTTAGAATGGTAAAGCATTATAACCAATTTTGAACACTCCCCTTTATTCAGTTTAAATGATGACTCAAAGTATTGCAGGTTTATTAAGCTACTCTCCTTCCCTGAAGCTTCTTCCATAAACAGTAGTGCATATACAGATTCACATCCCTAGCATTCTTGTTTATTATTTTGTTACATATATATGCCTCTATTTTAATGCCAATCTCAGCATGGCACTAAATATAGCATCAGAAATTTAATTTTTGTTTTGTTTTAAATGGGTTTTACTTGCTCAGCTATAAACAGCCTTGAAAGGGCCACGTAATACCAGAGAGCACTGGCAGGACCTCACCCTGTCCCAGACCACATGCACGTGCAGGATGAGAAATGTCTACAGCCCTTCTTCCTTTTTTCATGTGGAGATGACAACACTACAGGCAAGCTCTGCTCCCAGCTGAGTGCAGAGACAAGGCTGTAGGAGAAGCATTCAGATGTCTCTAACAACATTTGCTGCCTGAACATCCATTCTTCATCTTCTTCCAAAAGGTCACATTTCTGAGCTTTTTGGCTTGTCTGTCCTCTCCCACCCCCCCAACAAGCACTGCTTCAAAATAGCTTGTGAACCATTAATGGTAGTATCACTGCTTGGCAACCTCTGGCTTAAATTTAAAACTGAGTAACATCTTTTACTAGATCCACCAATAATAGCTCGTGGTAGAGGGGGAAGGTAAGCTTTCAGGCACACTTGCCTTTGGGTCTGAAATAGAAGACTAGCAGAAAAAGCTGTTAATTCCAACATGAAGAAGCACTTACATTCTCAAAACCTTCTTCTTTCCAGTTGCATTAGCTGGTGAAATAAAAATGTTACTTCTTATAAATCCTTTATTCCTAAACCAAGAATTTCAAAACTGAATATCCCTCTTCTCCACTGCTGGTTATGTGCTTCCTACCCCTGTGTTTGAAACACAGATGGTCTCTTACACTCCAGTGAGGATCTCTCATGTATCTCCTATTTTTGTATTTATCCCCCAAAATGGCACAGGAAGCCAACTTTAAAGACAACATCAACATCTTTTATTTTTCCAAGAGCACTTCAAAGTTATCTTTAACTTAATTAAAAATGGAATTACAGGGTGAACAACCATACTAGGTTAGCCTGGTTCAGTTTAAAACCTCCCTGGCAAGGCTGTCAGGAAAAACTCAGAATGATTTCTGTGAAAAAGTGTTACAGGCATCCTGTACCTTTGAGTGAACTGGTAATAACAACTTACAATTGATGATTATAACAGCAATAAAATCTACAATGCTTTAGGTATGCCATACTCATTTAATACCTTTTAATTTTAGAACACCTCATCTTTTATAAGGAAATGTCCTTTTTAGGGTCTTGCTCTTGTACATGCAGTTTAGCAAAGTAACCAACGGCTCCAGCTGCACTGTTCCTTTCATTCCAATGGTCAACTCGTTTAAAAAAATCCCTCCATCAGCCAATTGATATGTTCTGTCCAGATCACCATTATTCCTCGGACATCTCCATAGGCCGTTACAAAAACAACTGCTTTAGCAGTGCTGAGATAATAAGGGATCAGTGACTTGCCTGAGTGGCTGTTTGGAATAAAACCTTTATGACCCGAAGTCTCAGTCTCATACGCTAAATACCATACATCCCATCCTGTGTCATCCATCCCCCATTTATCCCTGAAGAAGAATAAATAACGAAAGAAAGCCTGATGTAACAAAAACTAAAGATAAGTCATCAGTCTTTGTGGTAAAATAAACGGGTGAAGGAGAGATAATTGCTATGAAGGAAACCTCATTTTCTCAACCTCAAGACCATTTTATGAAAATAAAAGAAAAATTAAATTTTTGTTTTAGTTGTTCTTTGTAAAAAGCCACAGAAATGCATGTTGTTCCCTCCAACTGAAACTCAACACTTCCAATTACTTTACCAGCAATTTACCTCCAATCGCTGGATTTTAAGTTAATCCCCTTTGAGTTCTCAGAACATCTACAACAGCAATCACTTTGCCTATTAGCTGAACAGCCTTTTGGGAGATCTTTCTGCTTTTCTCTCAAACACTCTTTTTTTGTTATAAAATATTATTAACTTAAAAAGCCAAATGCCGCAAAGACAGTAAGGGATACGCAGTCTGCTCTGAAGCAGCAGCAAGGGGCCTAGCAATGAGGGCAGACTAATTTTATTAACTTCAGGGAAACTTCAAAAAGCTTTAGGGCTTTAATGCCAGACAGAGACGACCCCAAAAGTCAGTTTAAGTGCTGCATAAACAAAGGATTAGGGCAAGAAAAAGCTGAAGGCTCCTTGCATTTCTTGTTTATATTGTCATATGACCTAGTGGGAGTGGGAGAGGGCTGCCTCTCTGACTTTAATCCCCCATGGTGTACAGTGGCGTTTCAGTTCACTGACCTACATTACGATAATATTTTTTTAAATTTATGGGCAGAGGTGCAGCATCAAACTCACTTAAGGACTTTGAAAAAAGAAAAGAGACGGGGGAGAAATACCCAGAAGAGAAAAATTTTCTGACTGGTATAGTCTCCCCCTCTCACTTAGGTTAGATCAGCAGCTTAGAAAGGGATTTCAAGTTCAAAGGGAACGCGTCTGTTACTCTTGTTTTATGGCTTAGACCAGAGGACACAATAGCACTGAGTTTATGAAATATCCCTTCCCACTTGGCTTTTGTGTTTTCAGGAAAAAAATAAACAGCACTTCATAACCATAGGTGAAGTATGTGCATCTCTGGCCCGTGACATTTTTGCTAATACCAAGAAGTTCACAGAAAAAAAAGCTAACCAACTCACACTCCTCATCTAAGCAGTACTTACACTACTATATATAGTTTGCAAAACCACAGTTAACATTACATGTGCTGGCATTCAGTGCAAATCATAGTATAATTCCAAGGAAAAATAACTATGATTTTCCCTTTGAGCAGGGATAGCAAACTATTCTGTCCAGCCTCCAAATGAGAGTTAAACCACTCTCATTTTTAAGGTAACTTAAAAATTACTGTCATCTGAACACCCTCTCAAACAATCCATCACACACATTTCGAGAGCAAATAACTCCATGTCTTAACATATCTGTATTAAAAAAAGGGGGGGCGGGTCAGAACAGAAACACACAGGAGGAAACAAAGCGGTGCCAGAATAAGACGGGAAATAAGACATTTAAGAAAGACAAAGTAAAAGCACTGAATATTAAATACTAGAGACACAGAGAGAAAGAATAACCTTTTCTGAGTTAATCTAAAATTATACGGTTTTAAATAGAAATAAAACAATTTTTAAATAAGGGATAAAAACAGGTCTGAGGATTACTCTCAGCAAACCAATAAATGGCCCATTGAAACCAAAGCAAAAAACAACAGGAGGGGAAAATGAACAAAAAAACCCTATGACTAATAGTGAAAATATACAGTATTTTTTACTACTTTTTTGTACTTTTTTTAAAAAAGTACACTTGAGACATCTTCATCATGATCAGTGACAGCTCATTTGTTTCTAGGAAACAGTTTCGAGCACTTTCCATTTGTGTGTCAGAAATGGGAATAATTTTGGAGGCTGCAAATTCCTGTTCTTTTTTATAATGTGGCTTCATGCATTTGAGATAATGACGGTACATGAGGCCACAAAAGGGTGAAGGAGAAACGAACTGAGAGGATTTCACTGATGGTTGAGTTTGCAGCTTTTTTGATTCTCCAAAGACTGTTCTAGCTTTTAGTATGTTACTGAGAACTAGGTGAACGACTTGGTACACAGAAAGAATAATTTGGTCAGGTTTCCTCAAGAGCTTACATCAGCATAAAAGTGTTAAAGGCTTTTCTTTCTGCAATTCCCTCCAGCACTAGAAGCTTTTGGTGGTGTGCTGGGCTCTAAACCCCTTTTTTCACCATCCTCCAAACAAACAAACTAAACTTCTGCCTTTGAACATCCATGCAGGAGCAAAGAATGGAGATGAAAAGTTTATCTTCAGTACTTCATGTCTCATTACTGCCATTTTAATAGAGCAAGAAAGCCATCACACAGACACCTCCGTGTGTCACTAACTTTGGTTTTCAGATGTTTGTCTCATCTCTCCCCAGCTT